AAAAAACAAAACATGGTTAGCCTACTATACTTTTACTATAGTAGGCCTAATACCATTGTTAATTTTCGTAAGGGATTGTGTATAATAATATGAAATAAATGTTTTAATAGATTATGACATCACAAAATATCAGGGAGTGAGATTTATTTGATTGCGATGCGAAGGAGGGTTACTGTAAGTTACTTTACTGTAATCAGAACTGGGTTGCGGTGCAGGGGGACGGGACTAACGACAGATCATTGCAGTGTATCAGTCATATACATTGTCAGATCAGGTTTTTTAACTTATTAGAGGTACAGAACGCCACACAGCAACTTTTCGGCATTGCACCAAGCAAAAATCAGTCGAAATCATCACAAAAAATAAAGATCAAGCACCTAACAAGGTCTCCATGCATTAATTCTAATGGTTTGTTTTCCCCCTCGGCATAAACGGTTATGACGTTTTTGTGGGCGTTCCCAGCAATGCCGAACAAGTCTATGGTGAAGACTAAAGCGAATATAAATATGTAAATGACTGTTTGAAACAGAAAGTAGCACAACTGCTTTGTTTACAGGGTTACCGGGGTAACGGCTGCATTTCTGCCTCCGACAGCGCCCTCTAGTGCCGAATGTGCACTTTCATTCAGCGCGTCTCCTTCACTCATTCCGTCTTCTCATCTGTGCTATTTACATTAAATCGTCACCTTTTTAAAGTCAATAATCATATGAGGCTGTATCGCTGTTTTTCCATAAATAAATGTAAGAAATTCATACATTTGTTATAGGTTACCGTATAAGTTAGGATGTTTAATAAATTTTATTCGCACTCGTGCTCCTAAATACATTTTCCAGTTCGCAGACATCTATTTTTAGTCGCAAATGCGAGTGAAATGCTCGCACTGTCGAGCACTGTTTTACGGTGACGCATTGCTGACACACACATATTATTTTTTCCACTCAATTATGTCGTAATAACGAGATGTTATGTCGTTTTAACGACATCTTTTCTCGTTTTAACGACATCTTTTCTCATTAAAACGACATCTTTTCTCGTAATAACCAGATGTTTTCTCATTAAAACAACATCTTTTCTCATAATAACGACGTTTTCTCATTAAAATGACATATTTTCTCGTATTTTCTCGTAATAACGACATCTTTTCTCATTAAAACGACATCTTTTCTCGTAATAACCAGATGTTTTCTCATTAAAACAACATCTTTTCTCATAATAACGACGTTTTCTCATTAAAATGACATATTTTCTCGTAATAACGAGATGTTTTCTCGTTAAAACGACATCTTTTCTTGTAATAACGAGATGTTTTCTCATTAAATTGACATCTTTTCTCGTTAAAACAACATATTTTTTCTCGTAATAACGACATATTATGTCATAAAAATTACATGTTTTCCCGTTATTATAGATAGGCTATATGGTACATTATGTAAGCGAGCTAAGCGACTGTCCGCGCTGCTGTTGCCACAGTCTGACATAAAGGAGGATCTGCACGCTGCTGAAATGATTGAAATACACTGTTTTAAATGTATTTTAATGTAATGGTTTTAATTGTAGCGGCATGTTTATTAAGATTAATCTCCAATCTGTCTACAATATAGTGCTATCCAATAACTGCACTCAGACCCATGACTCCTTTAGGCTATGATCAGATCACTCAATTATGACGAGAAATTCGAGATGTCACTCGTTATTACGAGAAAAGATGTCGTTAAAACGACATAACATCTCGTTATTACGACATAATTGAGTGGGGGAAAAAATGTGTGTGGCAGCAATGCGTCACCGTACTGTTTAACCCTCACATCTTCAAGTGTTGATATTGGGTGTATTGTTTTCCCCATTAAACGTGTTTTAGGGAGCCATTACTTTTAAGAAGTTTTAAGATTTTTAGGCTTATTTTCTTTAGAAGTTATTTTTTAGAGTAGTGTTGCAAAATTGTAACTGAGCTTTTAAGGAGGCAAAAATGCATAATTAGAGAATACATTTTGAACTGACCTCTATAAAAGTCTTTCCAGTAAGCTAGACTGGATTTCGCCTGTGAAAATTCACTGATCAATGGTAAATGCATTCAAAACAGTTATTTGGAGTAGTTTATCTACAGTGATTTGCTGAATGAGCTCTTTTATGTGAATAGCATAAAAATGTTGTTCACCAAGAACCACTGACCAAGACATCATTCAGAGAAATTAAATGTATTTTGACTAAGCTTGTAAAAAAATATAACAGGGTCAAACTCTTATGCTGCGTTCACACCAAACGCGAATAGAGCGTCTGGCGCGACAAGGATTAAACCGTGACTGAAAAACCAGGTCTAAACCAGGACAAAAGTAGGACTCAACCAGGTCTAAACCACGATTATTCCGGAACAAAATCAGGTCTAAATAAAACTAAATCAGGACTTAAAATACAAAGACCTACTGAGTATCACTAGAAAGAGCACCAACAGTAGTATCCGTACTTTGAGAAACATTGATAGCATAGCGTATTTTAGCATACTGTATTTAATATATATAATATACTGCATTTAAAATACATACACATTTACTAACCGAAGACAGATGGACAGGCGCTCCGCAGCTGGGATAGAGCGCCTGTAGTTGGTGTCCTGGAGGGTGATCCTCGCTCCGACGCGGGACAACAGGTCATCAAATTGGGCGCGAGACAGGCGGAAGTACCGCTGAAATCGGCCGTCATCCAGGCGCAGCTCCTGGAGCAAATGATGAAACTCGCCAAACTGGGAACGCCTCCGGAGGGTCTGGTGGACCCAAGTACGGCGACGCTGACCCCTACGCCGCTGTTCTGCTCTCCAGAGCAAATACAAAGCGGTAACTCTCTCGATGAATGCTCGATCAACATCAGCCATCTTGCAAACAGACAACCGCCTAGCACTTGCCCCTCCCACAAGAAGCGGATTTCGCCTCGGACGCGCGTCAATTTCGCTTCAAACGCTTGTTTTTTACGCGCGTCTATTTCGCTCTAGACGCGCGAATGCATTCAAAATGTTCAAGCGGCAAACTAGACGCGGTAGACGCGAATTTGACGCTCTATTCGCGTTTGGTGTGAACGCAGCATTAGACAGTAGTAGGCAGTGACCATGTTGTGTGAATTTGGCTTGCTGGAAGATTCAAATTGTAAATAATTTCCTGCCAGACTTGCTGCTAGGTGCTGTTATATGGCATTTTAACTCAAATGGTCAAAGCTTGGCTGGTTAGCATGGCCCTGTTAGCCCCTGCTGGCTCGATACTATAAGTACACCATCT